CAGTGTTCCCCCTTTTTTTCCTTGCCCTTTTCCCCCTTGCCGGGGTATCAGCTTCCCATACTTTTACATTTTACCCGCTGCTCATGTATTTTAGAAGGAGCGATGGTTGCTCCCGGGTATGCAGGAAGGAATGATAGAGGAGATGGTTGAGTAGTGGTGGGCTTTATTTGTCTTTTAGTTGCCTCTTCTTGCTTTAGTTGAATCTCCTGTCTCTTACCCCCTGCTTGTTTTGCTCAAACTGCTTGTTCCTGCACAAAACTTACAGAAAATCCATCTCTTCTCCACTTTTTCCGTTATTTTAATTTTATTTCCCTGTTGCTGTTTCACCCTTTACCCTTTCTCCTCACAACCCCACCATGACCCTTCTGTGTTGATGTGAGGGCACTTCTCTTTCTTTCCACTTGCTGATTTCTCGATTCACATTCCTGTATCTCTTTCTTGAATGTTTTTGCACCTGTTCATTCTTGCTCTCTTTGAATTCTCTGTTACTCATTTGTGTTTGCTGTTCTGTCATTCTGCATCTTTCACTGTCTTTTTTTCCATGGACCAACCTTTTTTTTGTATCCTCATTTATTATCTTGTACCTCTCTTTATACTGTGTCATTGTCACCTGTCCTTGTCTGCTTTCTAACATCTTCTCTGTGATGTTTACGTCCTTGTACTTATTCTTCATGATTATCCATGTCTTCTCGTTGCCCCCCACTTCTCTGTCCTTCCTTTTGTGTCATGTATGTCCCCCACCTTGCGTGTCTCCTCTCGTGTTTTCTCTTGCTCTTGAATTCCCATTTTGTTTGGATTTTTGTGTAGGGCAGTAGTTCAGTGGATGGCAGCCCCGTGCCCTCAACCTCTGGGGCCAGCACACCCCGCAGAGGAAGGCGTCAGCTGCCCCAGCTTCCCCCAACCCCCAGGCCACGTATTACCTACTCCCCGGTGGTCCGCCGGCCTGCCAGCATCGGCCCCCCACAGCAGCTGTCCCCTTGCCGAATGACCACACCCATACCAAGAAGATATCCACAGAGTGACAGCCACATGAGCAGCAACGAGAGACGGGCCGCTCACAACGACTCTCCTCGACCACACCGCCACACCAGGGGACACTGCTCTGATGCCCCTCGCGCTGGATGCAGGCACAGTGGCCCTTACCGGGATTCCTCCTATGAGGGACCCCACCCCTGTGACCAGCGCACCTCCAGGACTGCCGACCCCGGGGGGGCACCTCCCCTATCGCCACATGGGCGCAGGTTGCCCAACGGCTACTCCCATGGGACCCCGCGACCCACTAAGTCTCATCACGAACGTTACAGTGAGAGTGAGGAAGACGACTGGTGCTAAAAAAAAATAAAAAAATCTATATGTATATATATATA